TTTTTTTTTTTTTTTTTTTTTTTTGGAAATAAAATATAAGTCTTGTCGTCCCTATGATAAAATTTATTCCACGACGGGCCAGAGGCAGTACTGTCGATCTTGGGCCCATGGTCCTTTGGTCGGCCCATGGGCCTACAAACACGGACAATCGTTTTCAATAAGCAAACATTGGGCCTGGGCTTAACATTGGGCCTAAATATTTGGATGGATATATAATTGAAATTATATATATTTTTTGTTTTATTTTCATTTGAATAAACACGTTGCAATTTTTTTATTCTCTTTTTAGCAAAAAAATGATTAGATTTCCAAATTTAATTTAATTTAATAAATTTTTATTAATAGTATGTTTTCATGGTCATCGATATTTAATACTAAAATAATTAATAATAAAAAAAGTTAGAGGTTTAAATTTTCAATTTAGACTTTCTATATTTTTATTTTTATATATTTAAATTTAATGTTCTAAAAGTATTATATTTAACATCCATATAAATCTTTTTCTTTATTTTAAAAAAATATCCATATTCTTTTGAAAATTATGATATTAACCCTAGTTTTTATAAAAATTTCAAAATTATCTATAAATTTATTAGAATATTAAATAAGATATTGACGTCATAGTGAATAGGACATCGGCATTGATTTTTTTTAATATTTTAATAACTTTTTAATTTTAAAGATTAATTATGAAAATAATATTATAGTTTAAAAAATAAAAATATTTTAAAAATAAATTTAATATATATATATATATTAATTTGGAAGGGAGTAGAGGAAAAGAAAAGTGCTCCATTTTCCTCTTTTTCTTCCTCATTTGTGTTTTGCCATGCAAACTTTATAATTATTATTTTTTAGCCCTTCAAATTATATTGTTTTTCCTTTTAGTCCCTATCAACTTGGTTTTCATACACTTTTTTTTTCTTTTCGGTCCTTGTATTAATTCTTATTTACGCTCGAGTTAGCATATCCATATAATAAGAGCTTACCATGTGCTTCAAACGCGATTTCTTTTCACAGTATATGAAGCTTGTCACGTCTATATACATTAGAAATTATACCAAAAAATCTACTGATCCAATAGAGCTGATTTGTGATATCGAAGAATTCAACTCTAAGAGATATCGTACGTTTTATCGATTACTATGTAAAAGGGTCAATTTTGTTTATCGAGTTAATGAAACAAAAAGTTCTTAGGTCGAAGAGAGTCAAACGCACACTTGAGTTGGGTTTTCCAACATCATTTTCCACTTAAAATTTACTCAAAAGCTCCCTTTTCCACTTCATAAAAGTTAAAGCTGTTAACACCTTAATTAATTAGTTAACTAATTTATTTTGTTTTCTAGTTAACTGCATCCACATCAACGGCCATGCGCCTTCACACGTGTCTTTAACAAAGCTTTGCTGTGCTCCTGTCCACACTTGATCTCAGCCCCCGGGAATCTTGTACGTTATCCTTGTTCCGAATCTACAAATGAAATGCCCATTTGTAGACCGGTTTTTTTTTCAAGCTCGGTTCGGCTCATGTTATGTGCTTATTTTTTAGGTTATTTAGGAAAATAATAATAATAAATGTAAAAAAAAAAAAAAAAACAAGAAAACAAGAAAACAAAACATTTTACTAAGCAATTTTAATTAAAAAAAAAGTAAAAATTAGGATGTTTTGCCGGGTCAACCCCTGGTCAAAAAGCACGTAAATGACACGCGCCGCAATTACAAATTGTAGACCGGTTTTATTTTAAACTCGGTTTGGTTCATGTTCTGGTCTTATTTTTACACTGTTTTGTTTTGAGGTTATTTAGCCAAATAATAATAAAAAATGTAAAAAAACAAAAACAAAAAACAAAACAATTTTAATGAAAAAAAAATGTATGTTTTGTCGGGTCAACCCCTGGTCAAAAGCGCGTACAAGACACGCGCCGGAATTACAAATCGCAGAAACGAAATTCCATTTTCAGCAAAGTCTACAGAGACTCCCTCTGCTTCCGCAGCTTTCTCTCTATTTCACGTCCCTCATTTCCTCATTATTTCATCACTCAAAACAGCTCAATTCCTTCCCCAAATCGAAGTTCTTGTCGGTCGGAAGCTGAAACCATGACGGTTGAGCCAAGAGTTGATGACCCAAATGACCAATTTCCGGTTGGAATGCGTGTTCTCGCCGTCGACGACGACCCCACTTGTCTTTTGATCTTGGAGACTCTGCTTCGCCGGTGCCACTATCATGGTAATTGGCTGTTTAATGTTTGTGGTTTGTGGGTTGTGGATTCTGTTCTGTTTGTGAAGATTGTGAGCTCTTTCTCAGTTACTTGGGTTGTCAAATCTATTTGAACTGTTGAATTGATTGAGTTTTAATTTGGAAGTTTGATTCCCTTCCTATTCCAATACATTCTAAATATAACATCTTATGGTTTGATTTCGTTTTATGTGTTGCTCTTAAATTCTATAATTAGTTCAGACGTTGGTTGGGATGGGAAACAAAGGAATGAAAATCTATCACTAGTAGACGTGTTTTAAAATTATGAGACTGACGGCGATACGTAACGGGCCAAAACGGATAATATTTGCTAGGGATGAGTTTGGACGGTTATAAATGGTAACAAATCTAGATACTGGGCAGTGGGGCAGTGCCAGCAGTGGGGCAATGTAGCGTGGCAGGACGCTGGGTTCTCAAAGAGGGTGAATTGTGAGATCCCACATTGGTTGGAAAGGGGAACGAAGCATTCCTTATAAGGGTGTGGAAACCTTTCCCTAGTAGATGCGTTTTAAACCGTGAGGCTAACGGTGATACGTAACGGGCCAAAATAGACCATATCTACTAGCGTTGGGATTGGACTATTACAAATGGTATCAGAGCTAGACACTAAGCAGTGTGGCAACGTGGACGCTAGGGCCCTAAGGGGTTGGACTGTAAGATCCCATGTCGGTTGGAAAAGGGAATGAAACATTCCTTATAAAGGTGTGAAAACCTCTCCCTAGTAGACACGTTTTAAAACCGTAAGGTTGACGATGATAGATAACAGGTCAAAGCGAATAATATTTGTTAGCTGTGGACTTTGAACGTTACAGTTTAGTTAGTTATGAATTGGTAGCATGAAGAATTTCAACGCATCTAAAGTTCATTTCGTCTGGTATGCTAACTTTTCAGTATTTCTGGTTCTTTTCCTTGGTTGGACTATTTGTTGAATGATTCATTTTGAATCGCTTGCTTCTAACTCCCTATGAACCGTTTGACGACATTTTTTCGAAGGGTCGGCGGGACATGGGAGCCTTAGCTCAGGCATCGGTTTACAAAAGAACCAATGTTATCTCTGATCAAATCAAATGTAATTTAATTGTGTTCATTGGATGTTGCAGTCACTACGACCAATCAGGCTATTATGGCACTCAAGTTATTGAGAGAAAACAAGAACAAGTTTGATGTGGTTACCAGTGATGTCCACATGCCTGACATGGATGGATTTAAGCTGCTTGAGCTTGTGGGGCTGGAGATGGACCTTCCTGTTATTAGTAAGCTTAAACTGCATTATGCCTTGAAGTTTTTTACTGAAAATTTGAATTTTTTAAAGTTGATTAGATCTCACATCGGTTGGAGAGGGGAACGAAACATTATTTATAAGGGTGTAGAAACATCTCCCTACCAGATGCGTTTTAAAACCGTGAGACTAATGGCGATACCTAACGGGCCAAATGGACAATATCTGCTAGCGGTGAGTTTGAGCTGTTATAAATGGTATTAGAGCCAGACACCGGGCTGTGTGCTAGCGAGGATGCTGGCCCCAAGAGGTGGATTGTGAGATCCCACATCGGTTGGAAAGGGGAACGTAGCATTTCTTATAAGGGCGTGAAAACCTCTCTTTAGTAGACGCGTTTTAAAACCATGAGGCTGATGACGATACGTAACGGACCAGAGTGGACAATATCTGCTAACAGTGGGCTTGAGCTATTCAAATGGTATCAAAGCCAGACACCGAGTGGTGTGGCAGCGAGAACGCTGGCCCCGAAGGGGGTGGATTGTGAGATCCCACATCGGTTGGAGAGAGGAACGTAGCATTTCTTATAAGGGCGTGAAATCCTCTCCTTAGTAGACGCGTTTTAAAACTGTGAGATTGACGGCGATACGTAACGAGCCAAAGCGGACAATATCAGCTAGTGGTGGACTTGAGTTGTTACAAATGGTATCAGAGACAAACACCAAATGGTGTGCCAGCGAGGACGCTAGGCCTCCAAGGAGTGTGAATTGTGAGATCCCAAGTCGGTTGGAGAGGAAAATGAAGCATTTCTTATAAGTGCGTGGAAACCTTTCCTTAGTAGACGCATTTGAAAACCGTAAGGCTGACGACGATACGTAACAGGCAAAAGCGGACAATATCTGCTAGTGGTGGGCTTGAGTTGTTACAAATAGTATCAGAGCCGGGCGTTATGCCAGCAAGGATGCTGGCCCCTCAAGAGGGGTGGATTATGAGATCTCACATCAGTTGGAGAAGGGAACAAAGCATTTCTTATAATGGTGTGGAAACCTCTCCCTAGTAGACGTGTTTGAAAACCGTGAGGTTCACGACACTACGTAATAGGCCGAAGCGAACAATATCTACTAGCGGTAGCTCTTATTTACTTGTATGCAGTTCTCGTACTAAAAGTGGCCTATTTTGCACTTTTATTCTTGATTTTATATCAAATTTAGGGTGAAACTACTGAATGTTAATCTGCTCTTTGTTTCATTTTGATCTGTCAATGTGTTCTTAGTGCTGTCTGCAAATGGAGATCCCAAGCTTGTGATGAAAGGGATTACTCATGGAGCATGTGATTACTTGCTGAAACCTGTTCGCATTGAGGAGCTAAAGAACATTTGGCAGCATGTTATCAGGAGAAAGAAATTTGATCCAAAGGATCAGATGAATTCTATCAATCAGGCCAAGCTTGATTCTGAGAATGGTGAAGTAGCTGATCCAAGTGGGAAGTTTAAGAAGAAAAGGAAAGATCAAAACTATGATGAGGATGATGACCAGGATTGTAACGGGCAAGAGGACGATGACTCATCGACCCAGAAGAAGCCTCGTGTTGTTCGGTCTGTTGAGCTGCATAGGAAGTTCGTAAATGCTGTTAACCAGTTGGGCATAGATAGTAGGTACTTCATCCTTTCTCGCTCTCTCTCTCGGGTTGAAAAGGGTTCTTCATTTGTAATAAATAGGAGAACGAAGCATTCCTTATAAGGGTGTGGAAACTTCTCCCTAACAGACACGTTTTAAAATCTGGAGGGGAAGTTCTTAAAGGAAAAGCCCAAAGAGGACAATATCTACTAGCGGTGGGTTTGACTGTTACAAATGGTATCAAACTCAAACATTGGGCGGTGTGCCAGTGGAGGACACTGGGACCCAAGGGGGTGGATTGTGAGATCCCACGTAAGTTGGAAAGGGGAACTGAGCATTCCTTATAAAGGTATAGAAACCTCTCCCTAACAAACATGTTTTAAAACCTTGAAGGGAAGTCCTTGAAGGGAAAGCCCAGTGAAGACAATATCTACTAGCGGTGAGCTTGGACTGTTACAAATAGTATTAAAGCCAGATACCGAGCGATGTACCAACGAGGACGCTGGTTCTCAAGTGGAGTGGATTGTGAGATCCCATGTCGGTTGGAGAGGGGAACGAAACATTCCTTATAAGGGTGTGAAAACCTCTCCCTAACAGAAGCGTTATAAAACCTTGAGGGGAAGCCCTTAAAAAGAAAACCCAAAGAGGCCAATATCTGCTAGTGGTAGACTGGCTATTACCAATGGTATCATAGCCAGACACTGAGCGATTTTCCGGTGAGGACGCTGGGCTCCCAAGGGGGATGGATTGTGAGATCCCATATCGATTGAAGAGGGGAACAAAACATTCTTTATAAGGGTGTGGAAACCTCTCCCTAACAGAAGCGTTATAAAACCTTGAGGGGAAGCCCTTCAAAGAGGGGGAAGCCCTTCAAAGAGGCCAATATCTGCTAGCGGTGGACTTGGGCTATTAAAAATGGTATCAGAGCCAGACACTGAGTGATTTGTCAGTGAGGACGCTGGGCTCCCAAGGGGGGTGGATTGTGAGATCCCACATTGATTGGAGAGGGAAACAAAACATTTCTTATAAGAGTGTGGAAACCTCTCCCTAACATATGCGTTTTAAAACCTTGACCGGAAACCCTTAAAGAGAAAAGCTAAAGAGGACAGTATCTGCTAGCGGTGGGCTTGGGATGTTACAAATGGTATCAGAGCCAAACACCGAGCGGTGTGCCAGTGAGGACGCTAAGCCCCAGGAGGGTGAATTGTGAGATCCCACATCGGTTGAAGAGAGATCCCACACTGGTTGAAGAGGGGAACGAAGCATTCCTTATAAGGGTGTGAAAACCTCTCCAACCTTGAGCAGAAGCCCTTGAAGGAAAAGCTCAAAGACAACAGTATCTACTAGCGGTGGGTTTGAGCGGTTACAAAAGATTTCTCGAGTCGACGCTTCTAATCATTCTATAGTTACGTGAATTTCTTTCCCTAGTAGTTCTTTCACTATCCATCTCTTTTTGCTATGCAGAGGCAGTGCCCAAAAAGATTTTGGACTTGATGAACGTTGAAAAGCTCACAAGAGAAAACGTTGCTAGTCATCTTCAGGTAAATAGTCTTGTTATTCATCATTGCACTCAGTCATTAGTTTTAGAAGCCTAACCAACGTTAGCTCTATGGATTGCAGAAATATAGGCTTTATCTCAGGAGAATCAGCTGCGTAGCAAACCAACAAGCTAACATGGTGGCTGCATTGAGCAGCGCCGACCCTTCGTATACGAGAATTGGTTCTCTTAACGGTATCGGGAATTTCCGTTCCTTCACTGGACCTCCACCGTTTCCCAACACTGCTCATAGATCTATCCCGACCACCGGGATGCTCGGTCGATTGAATACTCCTGCTTGTATGGGCATGAATGGCCTTTCTTCCCCAGGAACCGTTCCACTGGAGTCTACATTTCAGCCCAGACCCCGCAGTGCGAATATGTTCCAGGGAATGCCAGAGTCATCAGGACTTGATCAAGTACAACACGTTAAGCACGGCACCGTGGACAATCTCTCTCGTGCTTTTGATCAGAGAACAGTGTGAGTAATGACCCCTTGATTTCAGAAATCCAGCATCAACCTTCCATTTCTGTAGTATCTGGAAGCTTGGAAAGTTCACGTCCTTCGGTAGATAGTATTCGATGCACGGGTGACGATTGGTCGAAGGCTGATCGTTCATCTAGGATGCTCTTGCATATAGGAAATTGTGTTTCTGACATTTCTTCAATATCTACTCAATCCCATGATTCAAGAACAGATACTCAACGTCAAGCAGCCACGAATAGCAATCGATATGATCGAGTAATCACAAAGGTTCCTGTTCAAGATTGGAATGATCTAGAGGACGCCTATTACGACACGACCGTGGCCTGTAGCTCATCAAATTCATTCATACCAGTGAATGGTGCTGCAGAGACGTTACCAAAGCGTTTCGAAAATCAGAACACAATCTTCTCTAGAAGCAAGGATTTTAACATGCCTAGTCGAGCAAATGATCTCGATCGTGCAATGGTGGATCACGATCAATTCAAGAAATCATCTATCGAGACATCGATCATGTTGAAACAAGGACTTTTGTATGATCATCAGCAAAAAATGCAAGCTAGATTTTGTTCAAGTAACTGTGGTTCCTTGGAAGACATAGCATGTGCAATGATGAAACAGGTAACATCTTTTCTTTTTTGTCTTGTTAATGGAGAAAGAGTGTATCCTTTCCCATTTGAAACCAAAAAGTTCACTCGAAACCAATAAGCCTCGGTTAAATGGCACTTACTCGGGGAGGGTATAGTATCGAAATTGTGAGTAGGGCAAGTTAGCGACCAAGTTAATTGTAATGGCCCAAGTCCACCGCTAGCAGATATTGTCTTCTTTAGAGTTTTCTTTATGGGCTTTCCCTCAAGGTTTTAAAACGCGTCTACTAGGGAGAGGTTACCACACCCTTATAAAGAATTCTCCGTTCCCCTCTCTAATCGACGTAGGATCTCACAATCCACTCCCTTTTGGGGCTCAGCGTCCTAACAAGCACACTGTTCGGTGTCAGACTCTGATACCATTTGTAACAGCCCAAGTCCACCGGTAGCAAATATTGTCCCTTTTGGGCTTTCCCTTCTGGGCTTCCCCTCAAGATTTTAAAACGCGTCTACTAGGAAGAGGTTTTCACACCCTGATAAAAAATTCTTCGTTCCCCTCTCTAGCCGATGTGGGATCTCACAATCCACCCCCTTTTGAGCTCAGTGTCCTAGCTGGCACACTGTCCAGTGTCAGGCTCAGATACCATTTGTAATAGCCCAAGTCCACCGGTAAAAGATATGGGTGGATTGTGAAATCCCACAATGGTTGGAGAGGAGAACGAAACATTCTTTATAGGGGTGTGGAAACCTCTCCCTAGCAAACACGTCTTAAAAACCTTAGGAGAAGCCCGAAAGGGAAAGTCCAAAGAAGACAATGTCTACCAGCGGTGGGCTTGGGTTGTTACAATGGTATTAGAACAAGACACTGGGTAGTGTGCCAGTGAGGACGCTGGGCCCGGAAGAAGGGTGGATTGTGAGATTCTACATCGATTGGAGAGAGGAACAAGTACCAGTGAGGACGCTGGGTCCTGAAGGGGGTGGACTGTAAGATCTCATATCGATTTGGAAGAAGAACGAATTATTCTTTATAAGGGTGTGGAAACATCTCCCTAGCATATACGTTTTAAAAATCTTGAGGGGACCATGAAGGGAAGCCCGAAAGGGAAAGCCCAAAGATGACAATATCTACTAGCGGTGAGCTTGGGCTATTACAACTACACTACACGTGATTGCCTATGTTTCTATTGACTTTGGAACGATATTATTTTAGATTAGATGAAAATTATAACAACGCCCATCGGACTGTCCATTGACTGTACCGTACCACAAAAGCTTGTCGCCTCTCTTATTCTACGAAGATATCATATTATTCTTCTTAGTACACTATTTGACCATTTGCTCAGTAATGAACAAACCCTTATGCTATTCAAACTTAGAACCTTACTAGAGGGATACCCTAAAACAAAGCAACCCTGCAAAAGAAGGGTAACTTTAAAGCCTCATTGCATGCCGGTCAAGAAGTAGGAGGAGAAAGCCTCAAGAGTCCCTTCCAGCAAAGGGACCCGAACATCGATTGCTTGACTATCTAGGGGGCTCTGCAGAAAGTAAGCGACGTCGAGGATCGGTGGCTTTAAAGGAGATGCATAGAGAGCTTGTCCATGTAAGAACTCGATCTTGTGGAATGGCATTCGGGTCCAATCCGATACAACAGTGAGCTCCTTGAGTGGAGGAAGGGAAGCCTGAGGGCCTTCGAGGCCTTGTTTGTATGCATTGATGTAGTCGTTGTCGACTCGAGACTTGGCGTTTCGTATCATCTCGACTATTGTTTTGTAGCTTTCGTCCTCCAATTGTCTTGCGGTTAAGGCGACCGAAGCGAGCACGAAGGCATTGCCGCTGAAGCCTTTAGGTAGAGGAGGCATCAGTTTGTTCCTGGCGTTCACTGCAAATTGTAAGCACACCATCTTTTCATTGCTCACAGACATAGCCTTAGTTCTTGCCTGTAACAGACAATAATATGTCTCAACCAAATTTAAAGACCAAGATTGAATGTTTTTTTTTTAAAAAAAAGTCAAACCCATATTTATATAGGAAATAACTGTAACAACTACTTGTCAGCTTTGACCCGTTACATATCACCGTCAGCCTCACGGTTTTATAACACGTATGCTATGGAGAGGTTTCCACACCTTTTATATAGAATGCTTAGTTTCCTAGTGTCTGGCTCTGATACCCTAAACTCTTAACCCTTAGTAGATATTATACTCATTAAAAAAAAAAAAATGTAAGTTTAGTACCTTCCATAGATGAGCAGCAATAACATCGAAGGATGAACAAGCAAAGCCACCATTTTCTCCCATAGCGTTCTTCTTCAATCTCTCGATCATTCCTCTACTCAATCTAAACGTTCTATAAACATATTCTTTTTTCCCCATTTCCTCCTTCCCCGTCACGCTTTGCATTATCAACCGATACAAATGATCGATCGCTACCGCCCCCGACACCGACACCGGCATCGCCCTCTTCTCCGAGCTCCGTTTCGCGTCGTAATCCATCAAAAGCCTCCCTCTCTCATGCACTGGCGTGTGCAACTCAACCCCATATGGCTCCTTCTTGTCCTTGAAAATGGCTGACTTTGCCGCCCATGCACTTAGGAACTCGTACGCAGCTGGTCCATCAAACAATGAATGGCTTATTCCTGTTCCTATGGAGTATCCTCCACACCCAAACCTTGTCACCTGCTTTTTAAAACATCATTAAAATAAACAAAAACAACAACTTCTTCGGTTTATTTAGTCTCTATACTTTAACGAACTTAAATTTTCCCGACCCCAATTCAAAAACCTTAACAATTTTAGGGTTATAATTGAAATTTGTCAATTTGGGCCGACCCGTCCTATTTGTTTCGGGATCTATGAGTCTATTGAAACTACCTACTTCGATCAATTAGCCAAGATTTTGACCAGCTACAAAATCAACGATGCTCGATCTAGTGCTATTTTTATGGAGATTCTTTAAGATTGCTATTCAAGATCACTCCCGTTCCTTTTCTAGTAGCTGTAGGACGACTAGTTGCCTGTTGAGGATAGGGTAGGGTGGTAGTATATATAGTTTAGCTAGGTAAGACATATATCATCAATCAGGAATAAAAATTTTAACTTTGCTCTCGAGGGGCTAAATAAACACAATATTCAAACGACCAAACATGTAATTAAACCTTGTTTCGAACAACGTAAGTTGTCTTGTTTTCATCTCAAGCCAACTGGGTTTGAATCATATGATCATATCTATGGAGATCTTGAAAGAAGGAACAAAAATAATTGTCTTTACAGACTGTGAGAATGTGTTCATTATTGTCTAATCCAAAGCTTGTCTCTTTGCCCTAAAAAGCCTCGACATAGCTGCTGTCTTAAACCCTAACCTTTTACATGTTCTGTTTCTTTGTCCCAATCAATAAAAATCCTTTCTTTCCCTTTCACTTTTTCATGAAATTAAGCAAAATTTTCAACAAAAAAACACTTTTTTCTGACAAAAAACCAAAACCCTTTTGTTTTTTATAAAGACAAACCTCTCACCTGAGCCACAACCAAAGGGAACTCAGAGAAATTCCCATTCAAAACAGGTTTATAAACCAACTTCTCAAAGAACTCATTGTAATTCGAGAGATCTCCAAGTTCTGAAATCTCGATATTGGTGAACGATTGAACAAGAATTGCACCACGGTTGTTGCACCGGAGATTCAGCTTACCGTTGGCGGGGTTCGGCTCCAACCGACCGGCCGCCGGAGACCAGACTGATAGCGTTTCTTCTAACCCTATTTTCAGGTTGGTGAAGATCGAGTCAAGTGATGAGCTAGAAGATGGCTTGTAGAAGAAAATAAGGTACACGTGCAAGGGACACTGCCTGTCTAAGTTTGAGAGCTCCAAGAGTTTTGGAGAGTTTAAGGTTTTGGGAAAGACAGTGAGGGTTTTTGTAACAGAAACATGGGAAGTGGCCATGATGATGATGTTTTGTGAAGAGCTGAATTTTGTGGTGTGTTTTTGAGTGTGGAGAAGAGAAGAGAAAGTTAGGGTAAATATAAGGACTTGGGGTTGAAGATTCCTAGCTAGGGTTCATCTCTAACTTGTATTTTTTGTGAATTTTTTTAATTAATTTTAGGGCCTACACTATGGTTGGTAACAATTATAAATTCTTTTTCTTTTCCTTAATTCTATATATAAAATTATTTAAATTTGTGAGAATAAATGTATATATACTATTTATTTAACGCATGGAGTACAACTTAATTAATATAGATATATATTATCGACCAAGAGGTCAAAGTTCGAATCTCCTATATAGTAGGTTACATGTATTTGTCTACGATCGTGAATTTTAGGGTTTGGGAATTCTAGGGTTTGTATTGTTGGTCGATTATCAAATTTGTAGAATGAGAAAAGCAAATTTCGATTCCATTGATTGGCTAGCTAAAGTCGTGAGCC